AGTTTCACCGTCCTGCCTCTAGGGAGTACCAGGGTGTCATTTTTCTCTAAGATTCGTTTGTTATTTTGGCAGTAGAGTCAGTCCTTGCCAACACAATTCAAAGGCATCCATTCCTCTTTGGAATTTCCTGTTCATTGTCGAATTTTCACATGTTTATAAAGCAGTTGTAAAAACACTGGTTTGGGCCTGCCGTACCCTAGTCTTTGCCTGATATCCTTGCTCATTAGCATTTTAAAGAAGTCCTTGAAAGCAGATTTGCCCAGAACAGCACATCTTTTGATTTCCTGACTTCTGCTGCAACAGGTGTTGATTATAAACCCAAGTAAAATGAAATCTGTACCAGTTTCAGTCTTTTTCTCTGTCATGATGCTGCATATTGGTCCAGTGGTGAGGATTTTTGTGTTCTTGATGTTGAGGTGTAAACTGTATTGAAAGTTGTAGTCTCTCTCAACTAGAACTTTCTATAACTGTAACTTCCTGGATAAGTGTCCCTTTTGGTTCCCTGTTATGTTAGAAGGTGGGGAAAATAAATAAATACTGGGACACAATTTTGCAAGTAAGTTTGATGAAATTTCTAAACACATGTTCATTTTTCTCTGTTTTCCCTCAGACAGCCCTAGTTTGCATTGCAATCACCGAAATAACATACTTTTTGGGATACACGGCTACAACTATTTTTCATTATACTTTTTGCATCATTATTCCAATATATCCACTTCTGGGTTGCTTGATTTGTTTCATAAAAGTAAGTCTGTTAAGTATTTTAATACTTTAAAAGCATAAATAAATACTGCCTAATCTTTAAGATTCTTCCTGTTCTTGCACTGAAAATAGCAAAAGTCATCAAATTAGGTGCCATGACTTGATTTTTGTATTATTGTTGCAGAGAGTCATTTTAAATTACTTTGTGGTCTTTCTAAGCATTCTTTTTCCCTTTCCAAGTAAGCTTTTAAACTTTAAATTCTCAAAGGAGAACTGTTTGCATTATGTAGTCTTTGATGTCCAAAATTATAAGCATAATTAGAATTATAACACTGCTTCAGTCAGTATTCATTTTGGTGCAGGTTTTCAGAAATTAAATAATTGCTTACTATAAAGAGATGAGAGAAAATGGAGTATGAAAGATTGTTTCTCAGAAACATATGTTATTTTTATACAACTTGATAATTAAAAAAAATTTTCCATATGATTGGGAAGATTGCTAAATAATAGGTCTCACTAACCGTTCAGCTCCCTTCCCACCCTTTTCTTGCTTCATTTTAACGTGTTAATTTATACCTACTCCTGGTAGACTGTTTTGCAATGGGAAATATTTTAATCTAAGTACAAAGCATACCTACTTATCCTGATAGTTAATATTATTTATACAGAATAGTGCTTGTTAAACAGTATTTTTTTCCATTTTAATCAACTCTATATATGGCAGCATATAAATTTTGAAAATATTTTGTTTTAGATTTCTTGGAAAAATAAACAAAAGCATGAGTACACCTACGATCGATGGGATAGACTTTTGGTGGCTGTTGTATCGGTAAGAAAAGAAAACGACAAAAGATGGTTTTTAGTTTTTTTGTGTGTGTCTGTGTTAGTATGTTGCCTTAGGCATCATTTGGCTTTAACTAGCATTTAATTTTTTATTTTATTGTATAAAAACTATGGTGCATAAAAAGTTAAGTTTGTTAACTGTGTCTTTTTAAAAAAAATATAAGGAACTCTGGTGATGTAATCTATATATAGTTAAGAGATTGGGTTTTTTCATATGGTGTAAATTCTTTTTACAGTCCTGGCTTCCTTAGAAGCAACAACAAAGCTTTTTATTTTTACTATAGTTTGTGACATGAACAACAAATGCACTTTACCAAGGTAGAAACGTATGTGAAGGATTAGTTTCATACAAACAGCTGTACTATAGTTTGTGTAAAATTGTGATTACCAGATGATGTGGTCTTGGTTCTGTTGGAATAAATAAAATATACCATAAAGTCACAGGCTGTTCTATGTTCTTATTTCAGCCCTACTTGCAGTGTCTAGTGTGGATTTTCCTCTTACAATACTATGAGAAAAAATACGGAGGCAGATCAATAAGAAAGGATCCGTTTTTCAGGTCAGCTTAACTTTTCAAAACATAAAATTTTAGTGTTTTCTTGTAAATTGTGACTACCATAATCCAAATTTGAATGTTTCTAACCCAGAAAGAAACCTCTATCCACTAGCAATCAGTTTAGAATAACTCCTTCCTTGCTTCCCAGCCCTTAGTAACCCCACTAATCTACGTTTGGTCAAAATATGGGCTTTTCACACAGACAGGGTCGTATCTGGTCTCACGTCTTTGACTTAATCTGATGTTTTATAGAGTCACCTGTGTTGTAGCAAGAGGTGGTAGGTAATTCATTCTTTTGCTAAGTCATATTCTGTTGTATGAATATAATACCGCATTTTGTTTATCTATTCATCATTAATGAACATTTGGGTTGTTTCTAAACTTTGACTGTTATGAATAATGCGTAGAGCTCTGGTGGCCTAGAGTGTAAGGAGTTGTGCTGCCAAACCAAAGGCAGGTGGTTCGAATCCATGAGCTGTCCCTTAAGAGCAAGATAGACAGACAGTTCTTCTCCCATGGGGTCTACCGCCTCCTGGTGGACGGTCTGCAGCTTTCCACCCCACAGTAGTGAGCTGATAAATAATGTCACAGTGAACATTTATGTAAATGTTTTTGCCTGGACATGTGTTTTTACTTCTCCTGAGTGAATACCAAAGGATAGAACTGTTGGGGCATATGGTAATTCAGTCTGACTGTTAAGGGAGTGCTAGACTGATGTGGCTACACCATTTTACCTTCCGACCAGTACATGTAGTTTCCCAGGACCTTGCCATTCTGGTGAGTGTGAGACAGGATGTAAGTGTGATTTTGTTTTGCATTGCTTTAATGACTGATGAGCATCTGTTCATGGGCTTATCTATTTCTTTAGGGACCTCTGGTGGCGTAGTGTAAGGCGTTGCACGACCAGTGCAAAAGCACGTGGTTCAGATCTACCAGCTGTTCCATGAGAGAATGATGGGCAGTCTTGTGTGATTTACTGCTTCTGAAAACCCTTAAGAGGGTCAGCTATGAATGGATTCCAGCCGGACGGCACATAACAACAACTTACCTTAGTCTGTTCAAATCATTTGCCCACTTAAAAACATAGGCTTTATATTTGTTTTTCTGTTTTGATTATGATGATTGTATTTGTATTCTGAATACTAGTCCCGTATTAGATATATGATTGGCAAATATTTTCTGTTGATCTATATAATAAAATGTACTATTGTCACTAAGTAGGTTTTAAATGCATTATTTATTTTTCATATATTTCATTGAAAACTAGATGAGGAGTAGGATTCTTATTTTCTGTCTAGGAGACCTGGGTTAGATTGCAGACCAGTGCACCTCGTTCACAGCCGCCCCCGGTCTGTCTGGGGTGAGCTACTTGTTGCCGTGGTACTAAGCCGACTCAGGTGGACCAGGAAGAAAGATCTGGCAATCTTCTTAAAGTCAGTCTATGGATCACAACAGTCGAATTGACAGCCTATCATGGAGAAGGTGCAGGGCTGAGCAGTGTTTAGTTTTGTTGTGCATAGGTTACCCTGAATTGGGGGATGGTTTGAAAGTGGCTCAGAGTAACACCAAGAAGGAAACTCTATAATACAGAACTGTATGTAGTCCCAAGTGATGTAAATGGTTAATGCACTTTGCTGCTAACAAAAAGTTGGAGATTTGTTAAATTTTGCTATTTTGACTGGGGTGAGATGATATCTCATAGTTGTTTTAATTTGCATTTCTCTTAGGGCTAGGGATTTTGAGCATTTCTTCATGTGCTTGTTAGCCATCTGAATGTCGTCTTCGGTGAAGTGCCTGTTCATA